GCCGAACCGAGCCATGGCGTTGGCCGACGAGGTCCACTCCTCATCATCGGCCTGCTGCGATAACTGCAGCGCTTCATAGTTGAGAACCATGGAGTAGAAGTCAGTCAGCGCGACCGGGGTGACCACAACGCTGAGCGACGCCGCGATCGGGTTGAAGGTCTTGCCCAAACCGGTGAGCATATAGTCGATGATCTCGTCATCAGCGAGGGGAGATCCAGCAGAGGCCATGGCGTCGGCAAGAGCCTTCACCTTGTGCATGTACTCGCTGGCAGTCATGTCGTTCTTCTTCAGCGACTGAATCTGTCGCCGGATGTGCCGAACGCCGGCACGATTCTGCGCGCTGAACATGGCGTGGATGGAGGTCCACGCGGCAGCAGCGGACTTACAGCTAATCAGCTGAGACGCAATGTCCTCCGTCATGGAGGAGAGGAGCATCCCGAGGACCTTCTGGTCCTGCGTCCACCATGTCGCGTACGCAGGGTTTGCCACCATGGTGGCTGTAGCGCCCGCCCCCTGGGTGATGGTTGTGGGCGGGGCAGCAACGGAACCGTCGAGGTAGCCATGGAGAGAAGCACCGGAGAGATGCGTCACGGTGAGGGTTCGCCATAGCGGGAAGTTGCCGCGATCCAATCTGACACCAAGGGAGGGCGCGATGGATGGGACCGACGCCGTCGCGGCCGGAGGCGTCACCACAGGGCCGATGATGGCCAGCTGCATCGCCGCGGAGGAGGAACCGGAAGCCATCGCGCGGAGGGGCGGTGGCGACGCGAGCCCGAGGCGAGGCGAGATCGAGGGAGCGATCCCTGTGGCGGCGCGATGTCGAGAGACGAGCGACGGCGCGAGAGAAAAACTGGCTCTGTATACCAAGTTTAATTTAGGGTTGCGTGAGGCCTAGCCTCCGCATATCTCGTATATATATAAGACCAACAATACAGAGTTATGTTACAATACGACACCGTTTCCAACAGAATATACTCCAATGTATCAAAGTGTCGTTTATAAAATAGTAAAAGAAAAATGTTTTAGTGCAAAAAATTGTGTAAATATAGGCACCAGCAAGGTGCACAATTAATGGGAATACTGTTTATGAGATGAGTTTATCGAAAAATAATTTATAAATAAAATTATTTTATGTGCCTTTCATATGGCGTGACAACTAATGGGAATACTGTTGCCACCAAGGAGGAGAGCAGGGTGTACATCGTCCACTACATAACGGAGTTCACAGGGCTTTAGCTTCGTTCGTTGCTAAGCCCAGTAAAAAGGAAATTTTGTTTTGAGTAATGAACTGAAAGAACACCGAAAATGAACAATGCTGATAGTACACTAAGCCGTGCTTCTTGATGTTTGTTTTGTTTGACACGGGAGAAGCTAGATCACCTTCGGAAGAAGATTGCATATGATGTTGTGACCATGATGGGCAACAAGGGTTATCTCCCGTTTTCCCAGTGCGAGGAGATCATTGACTGATGGGGAATGAATCATGGTTCAGATTATTACTTGCAGGCTGGTAACATCTTTTGTCCGTGCGATGAGTGTGGTATGTCCATTTAAGAGCACCCCTTAGTGTTGGGGGGCTTTTGGAGGAACCAAAATCCGAATTAGTGTGTGATGGAACCTATGGACCTTATTAGTATTTGTACTTAAGACCTGAGTAGAGTCAGGAGACCTACGGTGTGCAGTGTCGTGAATTGCCGAAGCATAGGCTTGCTTCATGTATCAGAACCCATGGGAAGTAGTTGAAAATGTCATGAAAACTTATTTCAATTCGTGCTTTGATGATCAATCAAATGTCTTGCCTGTAATCTGTTTCTGCAACGCCGAAATGCCTGCTGTTTTGAATTTGAAACTTATGCCCATGCATCCCCCTGATATACATGGCTCCCCTAGCATACATGGTTGGATCATTTAAAAACTGTCGTGGCTGGTACATAGGTTTTAAATTTTTGGTGCACATGGATAAGTTTGCGCAAATTTTTGAATTTGAAAAATATTACTTGTGTTAGAATTTTGAGGAAGCCGTCTGTTCAGAACCGTAATGTATGAAGTGGATTGCTTAATCTTGAATGGATCTGCATAACCGACACAGTTAGCTGATGTGCGTGGACACATAACCAACACATTTAGCTGATATTTTGTTTGGACAGAATAAGAACTCTCCATCAAGGTGGGTAACGACTGTCTTCAAATAAATTCCACAGTTCAAAATTTGAACAGCAACCAAAGTAAATGTTGTTTTCACAGCAAACGTGGCCTGGGGACGGCTCAGCCTGGCACGGAGAAGGGACTGAGCTGTGGGCAGATTTTGTGTTCCGCCTGCGCCTTAGAGCATCTCCAACCGGCGCCCAAAAATCTGGTTTGCTGCGCGCGCAGCGCTGGCTCCAGCAGTCGTGCTAAAATGCAGCGCACGCGCGCAGCTCCAGTAGTGCGCTAAAATGCAGGGTGCGCGAGCAGCCGCGTATCCACATTTGTTGCATTTTATCTCACAACACATTCACAAAACAAAGACATGGCATATAATTTTTAAATCACAAACATCATTCAACCAAGTTCCGCATGCATGTACAGAATCCGCCTCTAGCCACTTGGATCTATCTCGTCGGTGCTTCGCCGACAAAGACACATCTTACCGTCGCCTAGGCTCGGTGCTGGCGGGCGTTTCGTCAGGTCATCGTTGCTGCTCATAAAGTGCGACGACTGCCCGCAGCAGGTCATGCGCCGCGTTTCTACCACGGCGGAACATCCCATATGGGTGTTCTTCAAGTGCAAAAAAGATGGGATATGTGCTTTTGATTCGGCTGTGCTCCCAGATTCAACGCATTTTCGGTAGCTCGATACTCAAATTTATGTGTAGGATGGATGCAAGTTTTGGTATTGAAAAGAAGAATCCATCGGTCTATTGATAGCACGAAGATTGATAGATGCTCGTGCACTCGTTGCTAGAACAGAGGCTAGAGATGAGATTAAATGCGAAGCAACGTCTACATTTTCAGAATCAAAGAATAAAGAAGTGTACAAGATAGAGAAGCCGCATATCAACAATGACGACATAGAAAAAATATTAATCCAACTAGTGAAAGAAGTTGTGGAAGTTGAATCTCCATTATGTAAAAAGAACGTAAGGTTCCTATTTCATCTTTCTTTTCACCATCCCTTTGTCCAACCTTCTATGTATACGAGTATTAATCACCTTAATTTACTTACCTTCTGAACAAATTCCACTTTAATTCTTACTAAACTTCTAATCAAAATATAAGGTAATTCATGGTCAGAAATCGATAAACATTTATTTACACATTCACATAATTATTGATAGGTAAATCAGGAGCTAATGTACCAAAATACTTATATCCCGTTGCAACACATGGGCATTGTTCTAGTATCTTTTAAAATGTATAATTGTGATTCTTATTTTCTTTGGTCTTTTTCTCCTAGCGAAGAATAGAATTGATGAATATACTTCAATGTATCAAAATGTCGTTTATGAAACAGTGAAAAAAATACTCCCTCCGTTCCTTGATATAAGGTGTATAGATTTTTGAGAAAAAATCTGAAATACAAGGTGTATTGCGCTGCACCACTCGTTTGGATAATTTTTTGAGGGATTTGTTTACATTTCCTTATATCACGCAAGCGCCTTTATTTTCTCATGTCAATTAGTCATGTGTAATGTCGCCCAAAACTTGTGAAATTTTTCCTCCATGTGTGTTCTTTAATTTCCATGCCAAAAACTATACACCCTATATTTAGGAATGGAGGGAGTATGTTTTAGTGCAAAAAAATGTGTAAATATAGGCACCAGCAGGCCACGACGGACGAGATGTGTGACGCGACCAACGCATCAAAAACACGCCCTGACGCTACTCTATTTCTCTATCCAAATAAAATGAACGTCCGTTTAAGGCCATGGATTGAAGTTGGCCGCCTTACAAACTTCTTGATCGGCGTTCTACGCAATTCGCTCTATTCTATTCCGATTAAGGAGTTTCTAATGTCTAAGAGGGTGTTTGGATACGTTTTAGTTCCATGACTAAAAGTAGTGGGACTAAAACTTGCTAGCCTCATCTATGCTTGGATACAAATACTAAATAGACTAAAATGAGTTAATGAGCATTTATTATCCTTCAAACTCTTCAATCCCGAACTCGCATATGTTAAAGGAGAGGAGTTAAATGAGGAGGGAGATGACTAATCCACATTTTAGTAGGATTCCCCTGACTAAATTTTTTTTAATCTCAAGACTAGTTCTAAACTCTCTTTAGTCAGGGGTGATTGGAACTTTAACCTCTAAAAGAGACTAATTTTAATCAGACTAAAAAAATAGTCTCTCGGATCCAACATAGCCTAAATAAAATAGAAAATCGTGCAAAAGGCGAAGTGGTCGGCTCGTGGGGCGACTGTTCCCGGGATCCCCGGAAACAGCACGGCGAAATTTCTGGAGAGCACCGAGCACCGCCCCTCACACGTGTCGCCGGCTGGCAGAAGCCGCGCGGATCTGGCGTGAGCCGCTGCGGCCAAGCCCAACCCGCATACTCTTGTTGTCCGTCTCGCCGCATAAACTCGCCTCGCCCTCGCCCTCGCCCTCACCCGCCGCCGCCGGTCTGCCACTCCCCGCGCCCCCTTTCTCCGGCTTCAGCCGAGCCTCACGTTTTCCCGCACGGATCAAACACGCGACAAACCTAGCCTGCTTTCTTCTAATCCTGGAAAGCTGGGCGGAAAGCACGCCCCCTTCTTCTTGTTCGTCTTCTTCCCCCACTCCATCTCGCCGCGGTACGTACGCCCACAATCTCCTTTTGTTTTTGTTTTCCATCTTCTGTTTGATTGCATTTTGGCCCTGGCAATGTTACCAGTCTGTTTGTTCTCGTGCTCTCTGGGGCGAATCGAGGCGACGCGCATCTCTAATTCCGGGTTAAATTACCTCCGGTAATCTGATATGCCTGTGACATGTGCGATCAATTCAGGAAATTTCAGTGAACTGGACAATTAGATACGCGGGGAGGATGGATGTTTGCTGTGCCTACTTCGACCCGGATTATGAGAACCTCAACGAGAGGATTTATGGGACAAGGTAGGTAAACTGGCATGGCAACCCTCTTTCGTGATGCTTGAGCATGTAACGTGACCTACAGTATAACTCTATGAATCACCAATTTGCAGGGTTAATGTGGACAACGACTCATGTGGTAAATGTACTGTTGTCAACGTGAGTGCTCGAGTTACTGGCTGGGTAATCTTGTTGTTTGAAGGGGAATTAATGGTGATTGGTGAACTAGTGCTGAATATTGTTTCATTCATAGGTGAACAGTCGAAATGACCATGACCTCCTTCTTGAAGTGCTCGAAGTTTTGATTGGTCTCGAGCTGTCGATCGCAAAGTGTTACATATCATCTGACGGCGGATGGTTTATGGACGGTATGGCCTGAAGGAAAATCCAACTGTAGTAGTTTATGGTAAAATCTGTACGCTCATTTTTTTTCATACTAGTTAGTTTGAAATGAACATCTGTATGGTTTGTTGTGGTAGTCCTTCTATGCTTACGAAAAAGGGTTTCCCCCCGCTTTGTATTCGATACTTGCACTGCTTGACACAACGTGTTTTCAGACGATAAAGTGTATTGTAATTTAGTAATTAGTAGGTAATACATGTTTGGATGTGCCCCAACCTGTTGATTCTTTGAGTTGCTGGGCAGACATGCCAAAAACTCAAATGCATTCTCAGCTGATGAGTATGCTAATCAGGATTTACATAAGTCAAAAATAGGGTCGTCCAGGAATTGGCAGTAGCTCGAGTGCACGGGCTTTGTTTTCGAGTTGCGCCTCTAGACTTTCTGCATGATCTCATCGAAGGGTAGCATTATGCTATCTGCGTTTACATTGTCTACATGTATAATATGGGCCATCACATTTGTTATGTATTGTATGGCTCCAAATTTATGTTTCAAAAAGTTCGCCATCCATGTCTGAAACTAATATTACTGCCGTCAGCAAACTTGCATATAAACACAAAAGCTAGTCTGGCTAATGAAAACATTCATTTCAATGTTTCCACTTCTCTCCCCGGTCTTCCATATCTCATTGGATATTTTATTTGTGGAGAACCTCAACCCAAAACTCTGAACGAATGCAAGTAAGTTCTTCACCCATCTAACTACAAAGTTTTCAGTTCATCATTTCCGTCTTTGCCCAACTGTTTTGCAGTTTTCCATGTGAGAGATCAGGAAGGAAACAAGGTTTACAGCAAGAAGGCCATAAACTATATAGAGCAGGTCTCCCTCTCCTCCCTCAAAACTGAACTGGTTGTTTAGAAGCAGGGGAAAAAACTGAAGATTGGTGTTTGGTGTCTTCCAAATATTTTAGGCAATATGTACTAGAGATTCTCCGAGGTTCACAGTGACGAGATCGAATGAGCTTGCGTCCAGACCTGATGTTGCCGCGCATTATACAGGAATTGAGATGATTGGCCACAACCGGCCTGGAATTTTCTCCGAGATATCTGCTGTTCTTGCTGAGCAGGGGTGTAATGTTATGGAAGCGCATGCTTGGAGCCATAAGGACAGCTTAGCCTGTGTTGCATTTGTGTCTGATGAATCAACATCATCCCCCATCAATGATCCGAACCGCTTAGCCTCTATTCAGGACCATCTTGGTACTGTTCTTGGACCTGGTACCTCAATGGATGAAGATGGGCATAGTGCAAGAGCTCATCTGCTTGGGGCTGATGGCCTGACAAGTCATCCTGAGCGTCGGTTGCACCAGCTAATGTTTTCTAGTAAAGATTTTGATGGACATCCAGGAAAGGCATGTACTGCCTTCCCAATGCTTAGTTTGGATGGTTACAAAAAGGGCAGGAGGACAGTTGTCTCTGTTGATCGGTGCAATGAGAAAGGATACTCAGTTGTAAATGTGGAATGTGTCGACCGGCCAAAGCTGATGTTTGACACTGTGTGCACGCTTACGGACATGCAATTCAATGTCTTCCATGCCTCGGTTTCTTCCCGTGGGCCTTTTGCCTGTCAGGTAACTTCATCTGCTTCTGTTTTATCAGGGATATGTATATGTTGTATTGCAATTTTGAACTAACATGGAAAGGGAACACAAACTGAAGAACTACTTGTGTAGGAATACTACATCAGGCACAGGGATGGACATATTCTAGACACTGCAGATGAAAGATGCCTGGTTGTGAAAGGTGTGAAAGCTGCAGTCGAGCGTCGAACTTGTGAGGTAAGTAATATAGTGTGATCTGATGTTCATTTTTCTTTGTTCAAAATAAAAGATAATTTGCAGCATCATGAGTTGAATTGCATGCTCCTTGGTAACATGGATAAGATTTACTCTGTGATCATGTATAATGTGCATTGTTGTTTAGAGGTGACCACGGCGGGCCAAAGCCAACCTGAACCCAACGTAACATAATGTGCATTGTTGCTGTAATTCTTCTCTATTAAAATCAGTGCTGTTTCGATTGCAGCAAAGCAGCACTGGGTGTTTTGTTGCTGTGAGGAAATGAAATTCCTCTGCCCGCAACATAATTCTGACATTTTGTTACGTTGCGACTCATTATGTCTTTTTCCGACGTTGCTGCATTTACCGAGTCCCATCTGATAATCGGTATGGTTGCTTATAGGGTGTGAAGCTGGAGCTATGCACGGAGAACAACGCTGGTCTCCTCTCGTACATCACTAGGGTCCTCCGGGAGAACGGGTTAACCGTTACACAGGCAGACATCGCCATGGAAGGAGACAAGATGAAGAACACATTCTACGTGCAAGGCATATCAGACAACAAGATCGACATGAATGTTGTCGAGTCTGTCAGGAGGGAGCTTGAGCCCCTGCCCTTCCAGGTGAAGGATGATGAGCTTCTGTCCCGGGGGCAACTGGAAGGCGAACCGGTGGCCGAGAGAAACGGCTTCTGCATCCTTGGCCTGCTGAGGTCGAAGATAGAGAGCCTGTCTCATGGTTTCAGACTTTCATCTCTTCAGGGTAGTTTGGCTCTGTGAATGTGATGGTCTTTCTGCTGCCTGAGCTGTGTATAGCCGTAGATAGTTCGTGATGCGCATGCGTTCTTGTGCAGTGTATGTTTGTGATTTTTGGTTTCGAGCAGATAGTTTGGCCACGCTGCCACTGTTTCCTTTCTTTTGTGAGGTTGCCACTGTTTCCTCTTCTTTTTTTTTTGCGAGGTTGCCACTGTTTCCTTGTTTCTTCTGTACATGATACCAGCCGACCACGTTTGCTTTCTTCTCTGCTCAGGAATTTATTCATACTCCCTCTGTTCTTAAATATAAGGTGTTTTGGCCATTCAATTTAAACTGCCAAAACGTTTTATATTTAGAAATAGAGGTAGTAATTGAGAAAAGGGGGGAGGGGGTTGTTACCATCTTAGGTTGACTTCTTGTGTTTGAATTTTTTGTTTGCATAAAAAAGCATGTTAAAATATCTGGTTTCGCTATTCATCGGTTGTCTGGAAATTGAATTTAGATTACTAGTTGAGTCCATGTGGGATGATGCAGCTGGCGGAGGCGAGCAGGACGTTCTGACACTAGCATGTGTCATGCGTCTGTGCGTGCTAAGGGCGGGAGTGTGATCTGCCTAAAAATCCTCCATTAATTTCTTATCTATCTTGTGTCCTTACAGTTGATGGCTCTCACCGATGCATGATGACATGCCATTTTGGTACTTGGAGAGTTGGAGTGCCAAGTCGCATCAATGTGAGGATAGGCTTTGACAGGCTTCAACATGTGCACTATTCTGTTGTTGCTCACGTTCTAGAATCGCGGTACGGGGTTAAGGCCTTTGTATATAACTTGGGATATTTTGTAAGAGAAACCAAGAACCGATGCTTGGTTCTATCAGCACTCAGCAATGAAAACCCAGGATCCCGGGACTCCATTATCCTTGACTCTATAATATCAGCAAGATCACAATTGTAATCACCCCATCATATTGAGCAACACCATTTCCTAGTATACTCCGTATGAATCAGTTACAAAGGTGTTTCTGCAGATCGCACCAGCACCAGCACCAGCATCACATCACACGCAGTAGGGTAGGATGTGGTCATCATTACTAGCTAGTACAATGGAAAACGGATTTGTTTGCAACACAAGGCAGGATAGTCTCTTGTCTTGCACGGTTGCCCCTGCAACAGTAGGAGTTGGAATCAGATCAATTTGACACTGTCTCGTCTCTTTACCCGAAGCTATAATGTTTGGACTCATGCTTGATCATCTGGAGGCTCCCTGAGCCACCATCCCTGAAAACCTCGACCTCGGACAGCACGGCAAAGCTCCCCGACTCTATCTTGATCATCTGGAGGCTCTCTGACGCCGGCTAGTATTGTTGTTGATGCAGGCCTCAACACGTGCCATTCTTGTCATGGACTCATGATACTTTTTTCCGGATTAAGGGACTAGCCCCCACTTGCATTTTCATGAAACTGATCATACATGGAAATGACAACCTCAACAAGCAAACAGACTCGGGAGAAAGTTTGTGGTTGTCAAATAACAGATTATAATTTGGTCATTTGCATTTAGCATGACACTGCAAGGAGCAAAAGTATGCACCAACATTTAGTTCGGTAAAGGTGGGAGCTTTGAGCATGTCTTTTGCACAATGGAAAACTAATTCCAAGATAAAACAGGACATGCTCTATTATTGTATCTTCAACAGTGGGTGGTTTTCATTTTTATTGAGATTTAGAGAATTTCATTAATTTCAACAGTCACTAGTCACTGAAATATTGACCTTTCGCCCAAAATAATTTAGCAATTTCAGCGGTAACACATGAATTTATTTATTTTAAATAATTTTAAAAAATCAAACAGTTAATTGACTTGAAGTGAATATTTTGACTTTCAGGCCGAAATGCAAACAGGAATTTCAGTGATTTCGTTTGGTGTCAAATTTTTTTTCTGAAACTGAAACTGAAAACCTAATAATCATATCAGCTTGACGCCATCTATTTCTCCGAAGTTGTAACGTCTACAGTTGTGATTGATCATATGGAGGCTCCCTGAGTTGCCATCCCTAAAAACCTCTACGACGAACAGCACCGCAAAGCTCCCCGTCTCAACCTCCTCCTGAGCAACCTGGCCACGCACAACCTGCTAGAGTCCAATGGGGTTTTAGTAGAGGAGGGTGCAGCCTTCGTGGTAAACGGCGACAACGATGATGTTCTTAAAGGTTATGAAATCGATCCTCCTAGTATGGTACCGCTCACTGGCCCAGTCAAAGGACATGGCAGCTGGAGGAACTGTTGTATTTGGTGATGATCCGGTGGGGTAGAATAAGGATGCGGGGTCGATCCAGTGCGGCTTGAAGCTGGGTTGGTAGGCGCTAAACTTATCTACCAGCAGATTCATGAACCGACGTTCATGGTTCCCCTCCCAGTCTCTCAATCTATTTGATAGAGAGAAATCTGAGTTTCCTCTTTATCTTGATGTAATGAACTTGTTGATCTCCACTTCTCATATCCTAGTAAGATAAGTCAAGACTCGCTCATCTCCCCAGACTGTAGACAAATGGTAGCACACAGCGAATCGATCACCCCAGACTAGGCCACTGGGATGCAGTGGCATACCCAGGAATGAGCCAAGGCCCAGGCAGCTCTGTTGACTGTAGCGATTTACTGTAGCTACAGTACACAAATATATGAAGGACATGGGCCACACACCCCAGGCCGCCGCCCCTTCTGCCTGGGGCCTCAATCCGCCCATGCTGGGATGTATTAGAGTCGGCGAGGGAGCTTGAGAGCCGAAGGGACTCGCCATCATCGCCCTTCACTTACTGGAGTCAGACAAACCTTGTTGTAGCAAACAGTTGAGGATTCATCGTGCTAAGGCTCCACAGGACAACTAGTGCACCAGAACAACAACCGTCATCGATGACAAGAATTGTAGATGAGAAGGATCCAACATGTAGACACATTCTTTTGAGCATGATTGTGTTGTTTGCCCCAGCGTGGAACTCATTGTTGTATCGCGTGGTTGCTATATTAATATAGCGAGGCAAAAGCCTATTTCAAGAGAGAATATGTACACACATGAACACAGATGAGCGAAGACTGGATCCACAGAGATCCACCGAAGATCATCATCGACTGAAAACCCATGAGATCCGTCGGGGACACACCCCCACACACCCTTCGACGATGCTGCATATGTTTCCTTCCGTGCTAAGCAACGATTCTTCAGTTAGTACATGATGTGATCCTGGGATTACTTTGTTTCCACTACAGTTTCCAGTTAACCACAAATGCATTTGTGTGCTAATTCCCAACAATAATCTTCCATCTGCTGCTCCACCTACTTCTCAAGGTTCATGTAAAAAGCTTGATTAGCATATTGCTCGCAGGTACGAATATGATAGATAGGACTACATGGTTGAATGTGCGGAACAACTGAATCACGGAGTGTTGCTTGTCTTAGTTTCCCCTTCCCTCCCAAACCTAGCTAGCCAACTCCGAGATATGTACAGACAGCGCCTTGTGGCGACTGCTTTCTTTTTTTTGCTCCCCTGCTTTCTCATGTAAATCCCCCATATTTAATACAAAGTCATAGCTCATGCCATTTGAGGTAAAGTAAACATACATGGAGATTCAACATTGAGGTGATGCTATTGCAACATATATGGAAAGTGAAAATGATGATCTAGCCAAGTCGAGCGAAGTTTGGATTCAGTTTCAAGCCATGAAACCCTTGTGAGTTGCTCTAGGTTTTCCAACACTAGCATGCACGTTGCAATTTATAGACCCACATCGTGCATGTATCTGTGTGTCCTAAGGATGGGAGTGCGATCTCTTTCATTACCTAAAAAAATCCTCCATTTACTTCTTATCTATCTTGTGTCCTAACAATTAATGATTCTCACCGATACATGATGGCATGTCATTTTTGTACTTGGAGTATCAATCGGATCAATGGGAGGACATGCTTTGACAGCCTTCAAACATGTGCACTGTTCTATTGTTGCTCGCATTCTAGAATCGTGGTACGGGCTAACGCTTTTGCATATAACTTGACGTATTTTGTAAGAGAAACCAGGAACCTATGTTTAGTTCTATCAGCATTTAGCAATGAAAAACCAGGGTTACTGGAATCTATTCTCCCTGTTTCTGCCTAATATCAGCACCATCGCTATGATAATCACCCCATCGAGCAAAACAATTTCCTAGTATACTTGAATCAGTTAGACATGTATGCCTGCAGATCGTGCCACCACCAGCGCAATCTTTGCTGCAAGGCACATTCTCACCTAGTAGTATTTGTTCTAGTTCCCCTAAAACCTATGAACTGGCAACTGTGACTTGACCAAGATAGTGTAATTCCGATCCGCACCAGCACAAGAGCACAGCACACTAGTAGGATAGGATGTGATTATCATTACTAGTAGTATATAATGGAAAACTGATTTTTTTTTGCAAGATAAAGGATGATATAGTGTCTGGTCTTGCACCCGCAACAGTAGGAATTAGAATCTGATCATCTTCACGACATCTCTTTCTCCGAAGCTATAATGTGTGGATTTGTGCTTGATCATCTGGAGGCTCCTGAGCCGACATCCCTCAAAACTTCAAGGCCAGACAACACTCAAAGCTCCCCGTCTCTTCTGTCTTCTAGAACAGTCTAGCCACACACAACCTGCTGGAGCCCAGCGGTAGGAGGTGGGACACCGTCACGGAACACCCCTCGAGCGAAGGCGGGTCATCTTCCCACACCTTGTGCGGAGTAAGAGCGAAGTCGGCCGCGCAGAGCCGACCTTCTTCGTCCGGGAAGCCGAAGCAAAGCTTGTTCTCACGGATGTACATGGCACGACCTCTGAATAGCAGCACCCACGCGCCGACCTTGCTCCACTCGTGGCTCATGATATGAAAGGAGTATGTGCCGGCGCCCACCATGGACTCCCAGATCTGCGAACCACTGACGGCAATGACGGCTTCAAGAAAAAGGGTTTCCCTCCGCTTTGTATTACAAAGCAACCATCCGATACAATCCACGAT